GCAGGGAAATATATATAAGTGTAAAAATATCAATCTTCATCAGTCCTTTACATTTAGAAAGGTTATCTTTAAAGAGACTTCTTCCACAATGTTTAAGTCTCTGTAGAGAGCTTTGTGTTCAGGTATGCATCACTTTGGACCACTTAGTTTACTTCTATGACAGGTAAATTATCATATTTGACTGAAGAGCGCTGATTTGACATGCACCCATGGAAAAAAGCTCTGGAGATCATAAACTTCTTGGAATGTGTCTGAGGCTTCAACAAGTCACTGTATAATGGTAAGGAGAGACTTTAGGTGACGTTTTGGCAATTTGTGCATGACACTAGACAGAAGGTAAACCAGCAGTAGCTGAATTCTTCATAATCCATTAGAATACAAAGTGCAGGAGGAAGAAATTGTCTTTCCATACGTGTTGTAATGGACAATTTTCCAGTGTTGCAATACAGACAAGCACACTCATCGTCAAAATGTAGAGATGGACTAAAAAAAAAAAAAAAAAAAAAAAAAAAAAAGATTCCTGCATTTCCATGTTAATCCTGCAAATCTTGTAGCCTGCTTTTATCAATCTATTACTACATAAAAGAAAAAAATCACAGAATAATAGAATGTCTTGGGTTGGAAGGGACCTCTAAAGGTCATCTAGTCCAACAATAAGCAGGGACATCTCCAACTAGAACATATTGCTCAGAGCCTCATCAAGCCTGACCTTGAATGTCTCTAGGTATGGGGCCCCACCACCTCTCTAGGCAACCTGTTCCAGTGATCCACCATCCTCATATTAAAAAACTGAAAGAAGCAATGTGCACAGGACAAATATTCTACCAATCTCATTACACTGTTTTTGACCAAGACAAGTTCCTGATTTCAAGACACAGTAAAATCCCTCCTCCAGTGTTAAGACTACTACACAATCCTTTTACACTACAAGCAATGAAACCATATATGCATTTGTTTTATCCTCCTCAGAGTTTATTTTGCATGTAATTTTACATAGTTTATACTTCACATCATACATTTATTCCTCATCTTGAAAAAAGTTTTGACACAGACACTTGCCTTGCATTATTACATTTTGAAACCTGGAACTGGTGCCAGTAAAAAAACCAACCACCCTATAAAACATATTAGATCAATACAATGTAAATGTAACATGTATTAGAAGTTGCTCGTTATTTCACTACAAGGAAAACAATCTGGGGGAAAAAAAAAAAAAAAAAAGATAATCAGTTCCAGTTGCTAAAACAGTTCAGTGTATTTTCTTTTAAGTCTTAGTGTAATGGGAATGCTTTTATTAGCCCACTACCAAACAATGATCAAACCCGGTGTAGAGGAAAATGAAGCATGATCCTAAACAGTATGATGCTACTCAACTGCCATATAAAATTCTCTCACACAGAACATAGCAGACTGGGGATGTTCATAAAAGTCTTTTCAGCGTGAACTCTGCTAAAGACTGTTTTCCGTCATACTGCATTATTCCATCATATCCCTTATTTTGCTTAAGAAGTAAGCACAAGCAAGCATTCCAAGAATGGTGAATAGATTTTCAGTGTTGGCACAACTCTTCAGTAATTTACACAATGGTTCACGAAGGATAATGGGTAAAATTATGACTTGGAAATGGTCACGGACATCTTCCTCTTTGGCTACTTTAAAAGTTAGAAAATCAGATTTGTACAAAAGACATTCATTTCAGAACCAATTCAAATATGTTTTTAAATAAATGGAACAAAATAAAGCATGTCTCGTTAATTTTGGTATTATTTTTCCAGAACACTCTGCAATACATTTTCAAATATACAAAATCTTACTCTTTACAAAAAGGTTGTAGCTCATGAAAGAACTCACTTGAATAATCTTAGCAGCACTCCAATAATTAACTACCATGATTTTATGGAAAAAAAAACCCACCTTAGTTTGATCACTGTATTTTGAGACTGCTTCTTCATGAGAAGCAATGTTTCAAAAGTTACAAAAGTGCACGAACATTATCATGTTCCAAGCTGAAAGGCAGCTTCTGGAAAGAGAGGAATCAGTATTGCAAGGTCCTGACATTTGTGAGATAAATGCAATGGAAAGAATTACATTTTAAGGACATCTTCTAGTGTGGTATCATTGCAGTAAGAACAAAACACACTTCTCACTGAACATTTTAGTCAGTTAAATAAAATAGTTGTATCCTTTGTTGCAGCTGTAGCAAGTGAGATGCACAGACTAAGCAATTTGAGCGGGAGCAAATAAGCAACACACACAATAGCATCAGCAGATCACCAGTCAATTGGCCTGCTGATTTTGCTTTTCAGCATTTTTGTGCAATTTTAATTAAATAAGAAATGGCAACATACAATAGTCTCAGAGGACCTTCTCATTTTTAATTCCGTGTTATACTTCACTGAAGAAGAGGAGCCTCAAATCAGGTCCCACAAACCGTCAAGGCTGCCTTTTAGCCAAAAACTTCTGTTTTATTTAAGCAAACTACTTACTTTTAGTAAGAAGCATTAATACATCGTGAACATTTGAATTCACTATCAAAGAGAGGATAATAAGAAATTACAAACTTTGGAGCAGAATCACTCTTGTTATTCATGATAGAATTCTGTAAACAACAATTTAATTGAGAATACCTGCTGCTTTGCAATATCTTAAGTGTAATTTTGTACTACTAGAACTACAAAACCAACATTTTCCTTTCTGCCTCTTTTGTAAAGTTTCCTCAAAAGAGGCTCTAGCAAGTCAAGAGCTCTGCAATTATATGTGAATATTCATCTTAAGTATTAAAGACCTAATATTACTATACTCAGTTTCAGAAAGCTTCCTTAGAGCAAGTTTTGTTATACTTAGTACTAGTACAGCGTATCAGCACTTCTTCTATGACTTGCTTCTTCAGTGACAGTTGCAGACAACTTCATTTTGGGATATCCACATTCTGAAGTACAAGAGCCACTCTGCTTGGAATGTACACCTGGTAAAAATATGACAAAAGCAAGAATAGCTGAAAAAAACATCAGCCTCACAGGATACAATTTCTAAATACAACTTTAAAAGACAGCTTCATTGCCATCTCTCTCTTTTTTAAAAAAAATCTTAACTCGATCAATTTTTAAATGGCTACCAGTAGAGGGCCTCATATGACTTAAAATGACCAGTTTTAAAAACCTGAGGATATCTAGGTTAATAGACTGTACAACAATAAATGACAAAGTTTTGCAACCCTCTTGTGCTGTGAATTAAAGTTGCCCTAGGGTCTATAATTTAATTTCATACAGGTAAATACCAGCAATATGACACAGCCATGTATTCTTCTCACTCTTAGCATCTATGGAGTTTCAGTGTCTGAGCAATAAACCCCCAAAAAACCTCAACAAGACAGATTTAAAATAAGCCATTAAATGACTGTATTTTTTCTTACCCTTTTTCCTGATTACAGTGAAAAAACCCCACCATATATAATTGAGACTCCTCATAGATCACAAAAGAACTTGTGGCAATATATTTTACACGACATTCCTTCCAAGCAAAGTAGAGTCACAATCTGAAAACAAGACCGATATGTACTACCTACCAATTACCTTGATGTATGATACTCCATCAATTGTCAAGTGTATGAATGTGTTTGCTGAACAAGTCAATAAAAATGCAATTATAAAAGGTAACACAAGATTGAAGATTATCAGCTCCATTCTGACAACATCCTCTTTCAGACTATCCTTCATCCCTGCGGAATGTCTAATATTCTGCAATTTCACCTACGTTACCTGCTAACTAGTGCCTGATGGCATGAGAGGCTTTCATAGTTTTCAAAATGGAATAAACGCAAAAAGCTTTAGGAAAAAGAGAAAAAGGAAAAGAAGAGCTGATCTTTAATAAGCCAGATGGGGCTATGTTCCATGCTTCTTGAAAGCCAGCAAACAATCATTTCCCCTAAGGTTTTGGTGATAAATAGCTTCTACAAATCTGTGCAGGAGTGGAAATACTTAATGAAGTCAACTAGTTCAGAACATACAGATACAGGAGAAATTTAAAGCCGTGTATTCAGAAAATCAGTGCTCTGGGCTTGTATGATAAAACAAGAAGGGAGAAGAAACAAACAAAACATTTTTTCTAGGAAGGAATTTTTAAAAAGTTACTTCAGGTAAGAAAATAAAAAATAACATTAATACAGGACACAGAAATTCTCAATTATATTCTGGTCAATAATATGTCAGATCCTAGGTGGTGTAAATGAGTTTAGTTCCTTTAAAATCAAATTACATTACCTGAGAGTGAGAGCAGTGCGGAATCACCCACTCCTACCACTTCATTGCCATTCAGAATTTTAAAACCAGTTTTAAGCACAATTTTGGAACTTGTGCAAATTACTGTATTTAGACTGATGACAGGTTTTCTGTTGGAACGCATTACTGACAGGGTAAGTTGAAATGCAAGCATCTTATTGTATGTTTGAGTCTAGACACTTTCGAATGTATAAAAGTATGGATAATCCTTAGTTAATTAGTAATATTAGACATATTTGAATTGATATCTCTATCTGATTTAGATTAAGAACTATTTTCATGCAATAATAACCCATTGTTATGATGCCTATCAAAATGCATACATACAGTACTTAATACTATAGAAGTAAACATGAAATCACATACACTAAAAGGCTTTCATCCTCAGACACTGAAACAGCCGTACTTCTATGGTATTACTCTGTTGTCTTCCATAAATGCTGAAAAAAGTGGGAACCACAGTTCTTTCACATTTCCTAGATAAAGTACCATGGATTTTTGTTTTTCTTCCTTTATCCTTTTGCTATCTTTAAGTTATTTAGGTCCAAATTATAACAAAGAGTTTTAAAGAGAATTTCAACACACTGAAAGGCATTAATGAAGATACCTATTCTGACACATTATAATACACCTGTCTGTGACAAAATTCCTTCCATTCAGTGTAGTATCCAGCATAGCTCCAGTCCTGTTCAGTGAGGCTGCTACTCAGCAAGTTAGTTTTTAATCTTTAGTGATGTATGAGATTCCTCTGCAGAATTTTTCTTCATTAATTTTTATGAAGTTTCTGTTGGCTGAATGCTCAAATTTATCAAGATGTGTCTGGATTGGACCTCTAATGTTCAATTTATCAACCATTCACTCTAATCCAAGTGTCATCTACAAACCTGCTGAGGATATGCTGTCTCATAATTCCACTCACTGCTGAAGACTCCAAACAACATCAGTCCTAGCAGCAATTCCTAGGACACTCTCCTCAATACTGCTTGACAGCTGGACACTGAGCCTCTGTTTACTAAAACTGCAGCAGCCCACCCAGTTTTTAACCCACATATCCAGCGTGTAATTCCTCAGCCTAGAATGAAGTAGGAGACAAAGCTAAAAGTTTCACTGCATTGACTGTAGCAACTTCATGCACAAAGAGTAATTTCCTCACAGAAAGCAATCAGGCTGATCATGCATGTTTCACCTTTGCTAAAACCACGTTGGCTTTCTGATCATATACCCTACTTGTTTGGATATGGATTCCAAGAGAAGGTGGATCTTGAATTCTGAAGGGAACGGCTGACTGATCTACAGATCCCTCAGCCTTCCTTTTCATTTCTAATAAAGCCTTTGTTCAGTTGCCAGAAATTTCCCCTGACCACTATGATTTTTCACAGACAATAGTCAGCAGCCTTGCAATCATATCACTGAAAACTTCTAAACTCCTGGGTTTATTCCATTTATTTACAGCATCTTTGAGATGTCCCTAACTTACTGCTCTGCTGCTTTCTTTTCAAAAGTGTATTAGCACATAAAGGGTCTGAAAGCAGGCTTTGCCCTTGGAGTCTGACGTTAAAAAAAGGCACTGAAAACTCCCATACTGTTCATAGTGTCCATCACAGGTTTGACTCCACCCTTCATTAAGGGACTTGCCTTTCTTGTTAGGCTGTATTACCTATTAGTATACTCATAGAATCACCTTCTTGCCTCTATTCATTACCTAGTCTTTATACTTGCAGTACATGGCCTGAGTTACATATCTCTCAGTAGATAGGTAAGTACAATAAAAGTATAGAGAGGTGTTCTGATTAAGACCGTCATAGAAAACCTAGGTATTCATTAGTAAAAGATATTAGGAATATGTTTTTCAGTACCCTAGAAGGAGTGTTGCAGAAGTTTTGTCTTTTCTATTTAATATACTGTTGCTGAATTATTTACTTCCAATTACCAGCTTCAGTTCTGTTCATCTTTGCTCTTCTAACCTGCTTCTTTCTGGCTTCAAGTTTTATCTCGTCTCATTCATGTCTCCTTCACCATTTCACAAGGCTCATTTGAAGAACATAGAAATGAAAACCCAAAGGACATAATACTACAGAGAATACTAACCAACATCTTGACTACCATTCAGGCAAATCATCCTCTGAATCTCTCCTCTGTTTCAAGCATGTTCATCTTAAATGCCCCTACCAGCTTTTTCCTCCCCACTAGGCTCATCCATTTTGGAAAGGGCCTCACAGGGGGCCCAAACTCCCTGCTGAAAGCAGGGTCAGCCATGAGGTCAGACCAGGTTACTCAGGGCTTTAGAGATCTCAATGAATTTGCCCTCTGTTTTCTACACCAATTACTTACTTATTACTTGAGATCCTCTAAAGTATCACAAAACCACTACTATTTTGGGGAACCAAGAAGACATCTAAAACCACATAAAGGAAGGCTCATGAGGCCTTTTCTGACAGAGGAGTGGAATGTGGGGAAAGGAGGACATCAGATCTGTTTTGGAACAGAGTTAGGATGACTCAGCTGGTTTTGACAAAGCTAACACTGAAATGTTTAGTCATCAAACTACCATTGAGAGACCTTTTATTCTCAATGCAGTATTCAGTAGGAATGAAATGGAATAATTGCAGTTGACCTCACAGGCAGATGTGCTAACAGAGAGAATGATGGAGGACAGGAATGTTGTTTATAAGTTAATTATTTTTTTTGTTATCACTCTTGACCTTTTTATACTGCATGTTCATTTAAACTATGAAACAGATACACTTTCTGAAACTAGGCTAATCCCATTTACAGATCAAGGCTTCTGGCACTAAGAGTACAGCGACACTAACACAGAGAAAAAAAAAAACATCGATTACAATCAACCTGTTTTCTACCAATATATATGGTGTTCTCTCAAGATCATAGTTCATTCACGTACAGTATCTCAGAAACAATGATAAAAACAACTGGTACTCCTCTGCTTGCCAGTAACACAAGACACGCAAATACTTACTCCTTACACTTCTTTTCTGTAATTATCAAGATAATTTCAAAAAGTGATATATTAGAAAGCCTAAGAAGAATACAGGAACACCAAATACATGAAGCACTTGTGAACAACATTAGCTACAAGCATAAATCTCACCTTACGTACCTTGGGGTACAATACAGCAATCTCCAAATGTATCTAAAAACCCACAAGCAAGACATTCTGCAAAAGACAACTACTACTTTTAGATCTGACAGACTAGATTCAGTACCAGGTGCAAGCATGACTGAAATTGCCTGGAACTGCAAAGAATTACTCTTCATCCCACACTCAGGGATGGGAAACACTGAGCACTAAAAATTATTTCCAGGTCATTTTGCAACAGATGGGAGAGTTACTAGAATGCAGAGCTAGATCAGGCACTGCAAAGAAGTATTTGATAATGTATATTGCAGCTGGTAGATGCAGAAGGCAATGTCACAAGAGCCTGTGCCAAGACTGTCCCAAACTTTCAATTAAAATGACAGCTTTGGATGATCTTACGTCACTGTATCAAAACGGATGGTCAGACACTGACACTATTCTGAGAATGTAATTAACCGTCAATGAGTAAAATACATCATAGCTTTTGCTTTCTGACTATAGTTTGTTATAAGAAACATCAGACATTTTGATTTTCATTTTGCTAGATATTACATTTGACAAGGAAGGTATGTTTAAAACACTGTGATGTTCTGCCTTTGTCACAGACTGGAATAAAAGGTCTTAAGGCTGCTTAGAGACTCATAGATAGCCTCCCAGTTTGTTTTTCAATTTACAGCCATACAGCATGAACAACCAGAAAACAATTTCTCAGATTGTCTTGCTTAATTTATAATAAAGTAGTATTGCACACACTGTATCTCAGAATTTCTCCTCTGCTAATTTCTGTGCTCTTCAAGTTAAGAAAGCGCAGTTTAAAAAGACAGTGAAAACCCTTGGGAAACAAATGACTAAAAAATAAGAAAATAAAAATTAAAAAAAATAAATAAAATTAGTAACAGAGGAACTTTGGAATCATTACACTTGCTTGCAGTTTTAAGAATTCAATCAATCAATGAACACGAGCAAATGAATTTATATCTTAATCATCAAAAGGTAAAAATAATAATAAAAAAAATACCTTACTAGTATTGAAGTCTTCCTGATTTCCCTAATTCAAGCAGTTAATTTTCTAACTACAAATATTCTTTCATATTATATATGTATCTCTGCATGTCAGGGGAGAAAACAGCTAAAGACTACATCAGGCTCTTAAAATTCAATACATAAATCCTTATAATGAAAGCTATTCAAATGAGTATATTCAGCTAAGGTCACTAAAAGCTTTTACATCATTTCAGTCTATATGAGTATTTTGATTTGTCAATAGACTCAAAGAAGCAGGAAGCTGCATTTTGACATTGAATAGTATACATTAAGGTCAAGGTTAAAAACCTAAGCCAGCAATAAGGATATTCTTAAAATACACTATATAATTTCTGTTTCATTTAATGTGAAAATATTGTATCAGTGGATGCCAAAACCAGAGAATCAGAAAAAGCAACTCTGGGGACAAAGGGAACGGAATACTTTTACTTGGTTTTTTTAACTGACTGGCAAGTACTACAACAAAAAAAAATATATATCTCTAAAAGCTAAAATATGTTGAACACTTATTTTTCTCAATAAACTGCATGTTACTTTTCCAATGACACAACACGCTCTGCAATATTCCATTTAGCCTGCTTATTAATCAGTTCTGTCAGTGCATGAAGTACCAAAATATAAACCCCATATAAATCCCAATTTTTGGTGTGGTACAAAAAACTTAAAATTACTAGGACACATACTGCTATTTAGTTTCATTTTACAGTAAAATTCAATCAAGTCAAATGCTTAGAAAAGGCCGAAAAAACCATTTTAAATCATAAGTGTTATTAAAAGTCATAATTTTTCTTCCTCTCCTGCTCCAAATCTAAGTTTTATATACAACTTCAACAACTAAGTATGGCATCAACAAATGACTTCATATATAAAGGGGCACTAGGATGTGAAAGGAGCTGAGATGTGTGTGCAACACTTAATTTACATCTTGTAAAGAGCTGAGAAGCCATAAACAAAAGTTTACAGAAGCACTGGAAAATGCCCACAACTTTTATAAAACATTCCTGAAAAAAAAGTGTTAGGAGAATGCTACAGTGGAGATGTAAACAGAAATAAAACGGTGGTAACAGCTTGCTATTAGAAATTTGGATGAGTGAGAAGTTATGTAAGTTTCATGTATTTGTTAACAACGCAGAACACAGCATGCAGTGAAATGGAAAATTCAGATTATAATAATTATTTAAATCAGTGCTGTAGTTTGGTGAGTTTTTTGGTAGCAGGGGAAGGGCTCCAGGAGTGGGGAAGAAGTGAGAAGCTCCCCCTGCACCAAACCCAGCCAAGGAGCCATTAGAGGGAAAACACATGTGCCTCTGCGATTAACATCTGAAACAATTGATAAAACACCTGAGCAGAGGAGCGAGGGAAGAGCTGTGCTGGAGGGGAAGAGCGCTGAAGGAGAGCAGTGCAGGTGGGTGTTTAATTAGTGTGAAATTAAATGATTTTTTCCCCAAGTTGAGTCTGTTTTGCCAGAGACTTTAACTGGTGAAGAACCCTCCTTGTCCGTTGTCTCAACCCATGAGCTTTGCCCTCCTCATCCCAGAGTGTGTGTTGGGGGGGGCGGGGAGCAGCCATGTTGCTCTTCCCTTGTTGTCATGTTGGGCCCCAAACCACAACAATCAGTTATATTAGAGACACCATTTTTGTGCATTTCTCTGTGGAGTTTTAAAGGTGTGGCTTACGATTCTGAATTCTGGCCCTCTACAGCATTACTTATCAAACCTGTATCTGTTGATGAATCTGTTCATCAACAACACTTCACAGTGAAATGCCTAGCAGTGCTTACAAAGCTTCCTCTTCATGCAGTGTTCTTTGCTCCAGGAATTTCTTATCTCCCTCTCATTTTGCAATGTCACTTTGAATATTTCTTTTATTAGGAGATGTTTCTAGAATGAATCATGTCACATCTAATCTTCTATTTTTGTAACACGTTTATGTGCTATTTAAGCTTGACTTGAGCAGCAGAATTATTGCATGAGATTTCATTTTGTCATACCCCTCTGGGTATGTTTTGCTGACAGTGTTTACTTACAAATCTTAAGGAAGGTGCTTCTGTCATTAAACATTTCTTTGAAATTTGTGTAACTAAAGGAGAAGTAACTAAAATTTTTGAAATAAGAAATATAAGTTTCATGCATTACCTAATGAAAATAATTGTTAAAGAGCAGGAAAAATCCTTTATGAGTTTATTGGTGTGGCATCATACCTTTTTTGAAAAGAAATTTTAAGGGAAGACTTCTATTTGGATTTTAGAAACTGCAACTAAGACTGAAGTGACTCCCAAGGATGACTGACTACCCAAAAACTAGGATGTAAACTGGTATTTAAAATAAAACATTGCTGTTTTATTGTAAAACAGCAGCTGGAGGTGTTTACTGTAATTTTTGCTCTTTTTTACTTCGAGTTCTATCTTGCTGAATTTAGTCAGGTTTTCAGATTTTTTTCTCCAAGTACTTTTTCATGGTGCCCTTTTACTACCATTTTACTCCTATGTGGCGCTTGTGGCATCTTCTGGGGTGTTGTCTGAAGGTGGTCTGTGAATTGAGTTGCTGAAGGACACAGAAGAAAGATAACGTGACTCACGCTTCTGGGTTTCTTTTTGACCCAGAAGTGCCACTGCCATTCCACAGAATATACTGCTGCTTTGCTTGTCACACATCTTATCTTCTACATGCTTCTAGCAAATTGCATCTTCACAGAATCACAGAATTTTTGGAGCTGGAAGGGACCTTAAAGCCTCCAACAAGTTCCAACTCCCCTGCATGGGCAGGGACACCTTCCACTAGAACAGGCTGCTCAGAGCCCCATCCAACCTGCCCTTGAACACCTCCAGGGACAGAGCCCCCACATCTCTGGGAAGCCTTTTCCAGTGTTTCACCATCCTTTCACATTTTTTCATGTTTTTTTCTGACTTGAATGACTTCTACTCACTGTAGAGAGCCTAAACATGAAACATACATTGAAAATTACAGTTACTTGGCTTGAAAAAGTTAATAGTAGATAATTAAGATGCCCTCTGATCACCTAAGCAAGGTATTCGAACTAGAGACACAAAGGGATCATTCTGGAGGCACTGATTTACTACCTTCCGTAAGGAAATCTTGGTGCCTTAGTTCCTTCACGTGCAAATGAGCATAGGTACATTGACATACTTTAAAAAAAAAAACACAAAAAAACACCAAAACAAGAAGGCAAGTTTCCAAGAACCTTTATACAAAGAACAATGAAAGTACAATAATTCTTTCATGTAATGAAACTATTTTAAAACAAGCAAACTAGTAAAATTACAACACCCTGAATACAATTAAATAGATAGGTGAGAGTGGGAGAGACATTAAGTTACAGCAATCCTCAGGAGTTTAGATCCTATGAGAGATGTGAACATGTGGCACTAGAAATTGATGTCTCAGATGTCTCAGAAAGGCCCACATCAATCAGTGCAGATACTCCATTTCTCTAACCTTTTAAGATTACAAGTGTCACTTATTTACAGGGTTTTGTGTGTATAAATATACTTATGCATATATGTTTTAGATATGAAAATTTAGTCAGCAATATAAGCATTCTCAGATTTTTTTCAGCAAACTCCACCTTAATTCATGGCCTTTTTGAATCTTACTATTTTGTGCTTGTGAACATATACCCACATATACATATCTTTATATACATAAAGAATGAGATGTGTAAATACGCATTCATCTACCTATTAGAACATATTAGGTTTCATGCATGTTGGCAAGGAAAATTGTGTGCCAGACCCTGCATGCAAATTTAAATGTAATGTCAAAATAGAAATCAGTTAACATTATAGGTTGTAAACAAATCATAACATTGTCATCTCTACTGTATTCACACAAAGGCTGATTTGAGAAACTAAATTAAAAAAAAACCAAAACACACCAATCCCCAAAATAATCCTAGAATAGACTTAATATTTGTCCAAATAATTTCAGATCAAATAATTTTCAGATGAAACTAGAATGAAAAATATATATATTACTTACCATAAGTGAATAAGGTCGATAATTGTGGGGATATTCTTCAGAGAAGTACTCCGTATTGTGGTCCAGCCTTTGATGACCTCCATATTCTGCAGCATCAGACTCAAGAAGGATTTTATACTTAAAATTTACTGTTAAGGAACTATCCCAAATTGTCAAATGGGAAATAAACCAAAGCAATAAAATTGTAAGAACTACTGAAACATAAATAATTCAAATATCCACAATATAACAAAAATAATCATTGTTTAGCGATATTTTAGTTGTCAGAATCTGATCAATAATTTCTGAGAAAAGCATATTTTACAGAAGAAAACTCCACAACTCCTTTCAGAGTTTTTCAGAAAAAAAGTTTTAAATTATTACAGTGCAGAGGGAGAAAAAAAAAAGCACTTATATTTAATAGACACACTAGAGGGAAGGGAGGCCATCCAGACCTTGACAGGCTTGAGAGGTGAGCCCATGCCAATCTGAAGAAGTTCAATAAGGCCAAGTGCAAGATCCTGCACCTGGGTCAGGGTAATCCCAAGCACAAATACAGGCTGGGTGGAGAATGGATTGAGAACTGCCCTGAGGAAAAGGACTTGGGGTATTACAGTTGATGAGAAACTCAACATGAGCCAGCATGTGCACTTGCGGCCCAGAAATCCAACCGTGTCCTGAGTTGCAGCGAAAGAAGCGTGGCCAGTAGTTCAAGGGAGGCGATTCTTCCCCTCTGCTCTGCTCCTGTGAGCCCCCACCTGGAATACTGTGTCTAGTCCTGGAGCCCTCAACACAGGAAGGACATGGAGCTCTTGGAGCAAGTCCAGAGGAGGGCCACAAAGATGATCAAAGGGCCAAAGCACCTCTCCTACAAAGATAGTTGGCGTTGTTTAACCTACAGAAGAGAGGGCTCTAGGGAGACCTTATAGTGACCTTCCAGTACCAGAAGGGGGCCTACAGGAATGCTGGGGAGGGACTTTTTACAATTTTGTAGTGTCAGGATGAGGGGTAACAGCTTAAAAGTAGAAGAGGGGACATTTACATTAGATCTTAGGAAAAAAAAATAAAAATTAACTGTGCAGGTGGTGAGACACTGGAACAGGCCATCCAGGGAAGTTGTGGATACCTGATCTCTGGAAGTGTTCAAGGAGAGAATGGATTGGACTTTAAGCAAGCAGGTCTAGTGGGAGATGTCCCTGCCCATGGCAGGGGAGTTGGAACTAGGTGATCTTTGGAGTCCCTTCCAATCGAAACTGCTACATTATTCTGTCTGCATTTGTTGAAATGGGTTGAGTTATTGAAGGAAGTTTAATAGTACATTGGAATTCCTGAGCAGATACTTTTAAGGATTTAAACAGATTTAGAAAATAATAATAATAATTAAAAAGTTGAAAGAAGAAAATCAGAAAATGTAAGTAAATAAATGGTGAAATAAGTAGCTAAAATATATTCAGATGTAAATTTCTTCTTATTTGGGACAACAACAAATTGAGTGTTTTAATTTTATTATTATTTCAGTACCTTTTAATTTCTTGTTTGGACATAATTAAAACATCTCCGATCTCCACTGCCAAAAGCATAAGAGTGCTCTATAACCCACAGTCTGCTGTCTTAATTTTAAGCCATGAAAGAATCTTACTTTGCTAGAGCTTGTATTTAATAGGATTAGAGAAGGGTGAAGCAACACTCTTCCAAGTCAGTTGTTCTTAAACTGCTTTTGGGCTTCCTTTTGAAAATAGGCCTGCTCAAAAATTTATGTATTTCAATATTAACAGAGCTGTTTTTAAATGTTTTACACTACTCTTTGTTAGACGAGTTTAGGAAATTTCTCAAATGCCATTCTTACTCATTTAAATCTCTAGCAACAAGATAGACTGAAGCATGACATAACACAAAAAGTAGCCTAAATTAAAGGTGACTGCAAATTTACTCCAAGATATTTCAGTTTAGAAGTTTTTATAGCTTTTGCTGACATGAGGCAGAGAAAGAAAAACAGATGCACATGAGGAATGTAACAAAGCTGTCAATTAGCTTCCAAATCACTGATGTTAAGTAAACTTTCCTCCAAGAATTTTGCAGCAGAATTACAGAAAGGTCCAGAATTGTCAAGCTAGTCACTGATTTCTAGAGGGCAGGTGCCCAAAGGTACAAACAGCAGACCACCATATTCTCTGGCAAAATTGTTTGTTACCTTTTCTTTAAAAAACCCACCAGAACAACAACAAACCAAGTTAGGAAAATAATACTTTTGACAGCTTTACTCCTCCATGCCTTATATGTACGCTACACACACACTTCACCCCCCATCTGTATTTTATGAACTGACTTATGCGGGGAAGAAAAGAACAGTTTCCCACACACGTTCAAATTACCATTCATTTGTTGTCATGTATAACATGCAAAAATATGAACTACAACTTCTAGTTAACTCTCTCCCATGCCCTTTCAAACCCAGCATCAGCAATGGCTGCTATTCCCCTGTATATTTTATTAAAATGGCAGGGGAATGTCTCCCTCAAGCATTTAACTGTTTGCTCATGATCTAAACTATACATTACATTTAATATTTTATCAATGTTGCTGAAAGCCATGACATTATTTACAACAAATACAATTGTTATGACTGTGCTAATTTTAAAACAATTTATCCCATTTCCTTAATCCAGGCTTTAAAAGCATGTCTAGCAGTGTTCTTTAGAAATACAAAGTTAATATCACTGCCTCTCCATGCCTCACAACATAGCATATTTGTAGCAAACACTGTTAACTAGAAACTGAATAATGAGGTAAAAAATAATTTTAGTATCTTCACAAATTTGATACTTCTCAGTGAGAAAACCTCCCTAGTTTAGTAAACATGCCCATTTGCCTTCCAACTTCAACCTCACAGAAAAACTGCTTTTCACATTTGAGAATTTTAAGAGCATCTAGGTTTTTGAAGACTACTTTCACAAAGACATTAAATAACAGTTGTGCATTTTAATTAAACACAACAGAATTATTCTCTTTTGCAGTGGGGTCTCTTTTGTTTCAGCGACAGAGTGCTGGAAATACTAACATGCACTCTGACTCAAAAGGAGGAGAGTAGCAAAAGCAATTAACTCTTGTATAGATAGAGCTGGAAATGGAAAGGCTGTCATTATCTACCACATAATTACTGAATTACTATGCTTTTATGATGTTTTGAAATATGTATTTGAACACTTTTTAAAATTTATTTAATTTTATGCATGCTTAATGACACAAACCACCACTAAGTAAATGCAAATCATACAACTGGATAATTTGTATTTTTGCTCCTCAACTATTACTATTGATAAAAGAATCCAAGCACTATTTATGAGGGGTGATGGCCCAGCAAAATTAAAAGCTTTGCAGAAGAGCAGACAAGAACTTCCACTGACCAGCTGTAAAATGGTGTAAGGCTTACTGAGTATTTACAAAGAAACTACTCTTTTTTTTTTTTTATGACCTGGTCTAACTCACATAAACAACTACAAGAAATCAAATACATTTGAGTAACATTAAGTATATTGGGTCCTCTGCATTATTTTTGACAGCCCTATAGCAGCCTATCTCTGTGATAGGTTACCCATCAATTTAGAAACCCTGGACACAACGGAGCAAGACTGGATGAGTATACAAGGTAATGAAACAAAACCACTATGTTTGATCCTGATGGTTTTATCTCCATCCTTTCATAATCTGCTTTGTAGGATTAGGAACTATTACAGCTTTGAACAAAATGTTTAAGCATCCATATTTCTGGTTCTCTGGTGCTTTCTAGGCATGCAACTAGAACATGGGTGTTTATGTAAATATTTATTTTCTTTTTAACTCACATGTAAATCAGCTCTCATTTTCTCACTGCACTTCTCAAAATACAAAAGAATACCTAATAATGATTTCATTTTTATGCCTTGCTACCATTTCTGGCTAAAAACAAAATGATATGGTCCTGGCAATACAGATGGGACAAAGATAAAAGTACAAACCAAAAAAAGATCAAAAAGTGTGCTGAAACAGTTTCTGTCTTTCTATAGAAACTTTCAGAAAGTGTATGGACAACAGAAGACATGGGAACACTTTTGAAAAACTCTGGGACCCTTAAGCAGTCTTGGGATCAGCAGCTGTCCTGAACCAGTTCTAGCTGAAATGATAGTAACACTGTCCTGATTGCATACCTAATTCATTCGGAAATTATAAACATATGACAAAATTAAATGTATACATTTTCATTACATCTACATGGAATAAATTTAGTCACAAAAGCAATGGCTATGGGTAACCCTGGATGCTTTGTTTAGGGTGTGCAGAAAAAGCTTTGGGTGTTTTTTTCATGGAGTTTAGAAAAGAAAGAGGTTCCAGAATTCCTGGAAGAACAATAATTTTTCATCCTCCACCAGAGATCTTCTTTCTCCCTCCTTTCAACCATGTTCCTTTTGAAAACAGGAAAGAAGATTTTTGCATTGCATTTTTACTGCAGACAGGACTTGGAATCAACCACTACCCCATCAAAAGGGTAAATTGGAAACTTATGAATGATTTTCCTGTTAATACTCAGAATTTCATCTACAATCAGAGAACTTGAGACAGCTGGCCTACGTGTTTATTATTGAAGCAAATTAGGCAGAAGTAATTTGTTAGCTCAAGCTGCCTGTTTCTCATGAAAAGGTTTCTGAAATACCGTAATTTATGAAGTAAAATTCCAGCATGAGCATACAAATGTTTTCCTTTTTCTGTCACATGAAACAGAAATTTGAAACAGAAATTGGGCAACAGCACATGCACCTCTAGAAGTTGCACAGACTCAGAGCTGGAAACCTGCGTCTTTTCCTACGCAGATCAAAGATGCACTCCCACATTGGTCTCCTGTATTTCTCATTCACACCTATTAACCTTAACAAATAAACTGCCTTGATAGAGTTTGGCATTTGGCTGATCCCAAATTAAGTCCTTTGTCTCTGCATGCTGGACACCTCCTGAATTCTAACAGGCAGGGACAGTTAGATAACTGCACTTCAAAGCTGTCTGCAAAGCAATGCCTTTGCCTTCAGCAACCACATGCAAGTGACACATTCAAGTGACCTTATTTCCTCATTAAAAGCTCTAGGTGCATGTTGCAAATGTCAGAGAGCCTGAATTCTTTTTTTTTTAATTTTTTTTTTTTTTTTTAGCATTTTGATGACAAGACTTGGGATTCCTCAGGTCTCATCTAGCTATTTGCTTATGGACAACTCTGACTTCAAATGTCTTTATGCACCCTAAATTCAGGTAAAAAATATGTCTACCACTCTGGTATTCATTCACTCTAGCATTACAATGCTTTGATATTTATGCTACATAGAAGTGGCAGTATTTGCAATGAAGTAACCATTTTTTCCCATGGCATTTTTTTTCTCCTTGCACTTTAACAGCATATGACAACATGAAATATCAAGATTCAAGCGGAGATGAGCTAGAACTTATTCATATTGTTCAACAACATTTACGGACTTCCATGCTGACTATACAAAATGAAGGTCTCCATCTTTGAATACCTCATGCTAGGGTACCCCATCGAAGGGGAACAAGATGTAGAATGAAGGATCCCAACCCCAAGAAAAATAAGTCAAAAGACTGTAGTATAAAAGGACATGAAAAAGCTTACTCCAAGCCAGCTCTGACTCTTCAGATAGTTATTGAATGGCTGACTGTTCAGATAAAAGACCTTTCAAACCAACTGGGATCATAACTACTGTAGCATCTAGGATGAGAGGAAATGGCCTCAAGTTGTGCCAGGGGAGGTTTAGATGGGGTATTAGGAAAAAGGTCTTTACTGAAAAAGTGGTAAAGCATTGGAACAGGCTGCCCAGGGAAGTGATGGAGTCACCATCCCTGGAGGTCTACAAAACCCACGCAGATGTGGTACTTAGGGCCATGGTTTTGTGGGTATAGTGGTGTTGGGTTGAAGGTTTGACCTGATGATCTTAGAGGTCTTTTCCAACCTTAATAATTCTATCATTCTATGATCTACAGACCACTACATCTTATAAAAGTACAGTAAGCTGTGCTGTGCCAGCAGCCTACAAATAAAGAAGAGCTGAAAGAAGAATGACACTTTCAATGATAGCAGAACAGAGGACTGCCTACAAAAATGTAGGGCAGAGGGGCAGGAAGCTCTGTATCTTTTAACATACCTCATAACACTTCTGAGAAGCTATATATGATGACAACATAGCTATATATAGTACTACAATAAGCTGATATGCCAAATTCATCTTCTGAATAAAAGCAAATTTAATGACAAGCATTACATGCACTAATTTGACTAATTCAACGCACTAAACAAACTTAAATACAGGTAGTGAAAGGATCATGGCACATTTCTGACAATTCCCAATATAATTCCGAAAAACTTTTTATGAAAAAGGAATTTAACCAGTGATTATAGCAATTTGCTCTTCAGGATTATTCAGTAGCTGCCTCAGAGGATCAAACTAAAAGCCCACCAATATAAAAATCCCAACAGAGGAACAAAAAACTCGTGTTTTTAAGTACCCCTACTTCATGTTTAATTTCCCAAAGGATTGTAGGGAACAATTTTTTTTGAAGTGGAGAAGCTGTTCTGAAGATTTAAGGTCACATGCGACCATATTACCTAGTTATAGGACACTTTAAAAAAAAAACAACAACAAAACACAACCAACCACAACTCAGGTTATAAGGATCCATTACAAAATTATACCTAAAATTAATGGCTCTAATAGCAGAACATGTGCTAGAAAGCAAGCCAGTCAACATTAATACACCACAACGTATTTAAAGAAACTAGATACTAACACTCAGCCTGCTGGATACTGACAGGGAAGAAGAAAGGATGCTGAAAGCAAGGAGTGCAACAGTGGTTGTTAACTCTGGGGTATGTTTCATTTAAAAACTGGAACTTTCAGTTCTAAAAGTAAATCCAAATACTGCTTGAAGCACCAAAACAATATAAATAGAATACAGAATTCTTAGGGTGTGCTGCTACAAACAGGATCATAAATACTACACATGGAGTCCTTACCTGTGAGAAGTGAGGCAATTTTAATTAATCTCTTACACCACATGATGCAGTACCTCAAATGTGCTGTCACTTAAGACCATGCATTTAGTTCATGACCACTACTCAGCTAAGTAAAGGATTGCCTAAGAATCTGCTGTAACATGATTCTGCTTTTAAGCTTGGTTTCAAAAATGTGTTACAGTGACTGTCTGCATCTTCTCCACTCTAATGCCAAAGTATTAGGTATGTCTAGTTTAATTAGGAGAAAGGCAAAAAAAAAAGATGCTTACAAACCAAATCAAAAGGTTTTGAAGATAATCAATGCTACCCTGCTGGAGGAATTTAGTTTGCTCAAATTCAGTTTGTTTCAAGTCCTTTGACAAATACTGTCTAGTGAATCTTGCTGCTTCACTTTAAAGTACTGCAGTCTCAGTTTTGGCCTACTGTCTTTCTGTTTATCAGCAATTTGAGGAAACTACTGCCATATTTTTGTTGTGTGTAGTTCAGTGTATTACTGAACTCCTGTGCACGGCTGAACTGACCTACAGAATCTTGGAAATTTAGCAGGATTCTGGTTAAGTAACATTAAGTAACACCCCCGTCTTCAGTGCTTCCTTTTGCTACCTCTGTGCCGCTACTGGAACTCCTTGCAAAGGTAGAATGGGGTAATAAATTGTAGTAGTAATCCGGTGTGAGGCACTCTTCATCTGCCTCAGTGCTGAGAATTTGGACACAAGTACTAAACCAGCCAATTGCTAAAGAGTAATCATTTAATTTAATCTAAGAGCACATTCTTAGTGCACTCAACTATAAAACAGGAATTTTACAACCTTCCTGACGAAGGTTTAAGCTAAAGCATTTTTCTGTGCACTGACCACTTACTGTGGTCACTTTCTGTAGTTTATTTAGGAAGTTGGAGTTGCTTTTTCACACCTCCACTAATTCCAAGAAACAAGGCATCACAAGGAAACTAACACCTAGTCTTTTAACTATGATATTTACTTTTGGTTTCTACAAAATTATTTCCTATGAAGGCAGGTTTTTTTAATTATTTTTTGCTGTGCACTAAGAATTAAAGGAAGATTAAAATGATGAAAAATAAGTGTTTTCTTACCTTTTAACTACAGTTTGCATTCATTAAATACAGAAATAAAATTATTTTCAACTTCTAAAGCTTTTCTGTACCAGCAAAACAGTAAAGAAAAGGATATTTTCCTGGAGTTTCAATACCCACTCTGTAGTCCACGTAACTTTGATACGGATGGAAATTGAAAATAAAAACAAGACCTGCTCTCTCAAATGCTATGACCTTATTTGATTCATGCTTTTCACTCACATAGGCCTGGAAAAGAAAAAAAAAAAAATCCAGTACGAGAAAATATTTCATTTCTAACTGAATCGACAAAAAAACTCAGCACCTCCCTGCTTCTATACTGCATTTAAATCAAAACAGTAAAAGATTCAAGGAAGATAGACAAGGGTATAAAGATGCAAACTGAAATAGTTTACCTATGTAATGTCATATAACATTTTTGATTACTAAACTGTATCTTACTTTTTAGAACGTCATGTCAAATTAAAGAGAATTGTGAGAGATATTTGATTAGTACCTTTGATAAGCCACATTAAGCATAGCACCTTTGTTCTACTTACTAAAGCCACTAATAAATAACTAGATGTCAATTGAAAACAATTCCTTAAAGTGGATTATGACTCGTATGAAATAAACACTGAGAAATTGCAAGTAGGTGCTTTGATAAAAAGTACAGTGCAATATTTGGGTAAAAAAGGCAAATACAAGTGACACGTAGAAGATCAGGAGACTATAACTTGTACTATACTTTACTGGAATTGCTTTCCCAGTATCAGAGTAATTACTTATATAAATAGTCAGAACAATTTCCACTTTCCCAAAGCAATCCACAGATTGGATTACAGAAAGTTTAATAGGCTGCTTTATCCAATCTGCAGTTACTAAATAAAAATAGCAAAATTAATATGAAAAGAGCTTGCTATGAAGCTAAAAGAAGACTGTTTCAGATTTCCATTATCTGTTGAAGATATTTCAGTGACATGTTTTGACAACTTGAAATACACGGTGGGGCATTACGCAGTACATAATAAAGTGCTGCTTAAAATTCCTGCATGCAGATTTGGTACTGTTGTTATTCTGAATATGTACCCAACTGGTGACTAAAACATATCATTTAGTATATACAGCTTACCGGGGGAGATGCAAGCCAGCCAAATCTTTCTTCCAATTTATTCATATCTCTATCAAATGAATTTAGGAATCTATAGCGAAGAAGATGATCTTCAGTAAGATTAAACTGTCTTCTGGCATAGTGGTAGCTCTCATTATTCCCTATTCTGGGGAAGTCAAGCCATTCTGGATGTCCAAATTCATTACCTGTATTTAAAAAAAATTAAAGTATCTGTGAAATCACAAGCTAAAAATAAACTAAAACTGCAGAAGCAAAATACATTGAAATACATTTATCTTCTACAAGTTTCAAATTCTTAAGAATAATTTTTCCTATGTAAATGGGTCATTTTACTATAAAAATGCTGCAGAGAACTTTCATATTTGTTATCAGGTTTGTTTGGCCAATAAAGTCACTAGAGCAAATTATTCATGGATCTCTATGCTATCATGCTATGTGTTTTTTGGTGGTATTTTTTTAAATTCCCATCCCTTACTAAGGGCAACAGAAATTCAGTAAACCAGGATACCAATTTTAGAATCACTGTTAAACCTAAAATCATTAGTTTAACAAAGAAATCCATTTAGAGCACTTTACAGAAATCTGCACAACCATCCATATAACAGCAGAGACAGAAATCTTTTTTTATCAATAAAGCTTCAAACAACCAAAAGACCAGACTTAAAGGGTGTGACAACTCAGGGATCAGTCTGTGTTAATTCAGCAACCTTGCAAACAGAGCTCCTTTTCCAATCATAGCAAGCAATGTCATGAGTACCAAAGGACACATTTCAGGCTGCAATGAAGCATGTTTGAGCACTGGGTTCTGCTGTGTGCCCACTGGTTCATGTCCCTTTGCACATGTGTAAATGCCATTGTATTTCAATTTGGTTTTGTATAGCAGTAAAGCTCAAGTCAGGTCTCACCCTGACTGTCTAGCCCACACAAATACTTAATGGACTTCCCTTTAAGACAAGGAATAGGTTTATTAGAGCACACTCCATTAAAAAAAGGAAAAAAGTTGTAATTAAATAAAGAAAAAACTTAGGTTCTCCTATGTGGCATCTCCAAAGGAAATCTCAACTGTCAAAGCTAAAGATTTCCAGCAACAACTCATCTGGGACTCAGTATTTTTAATTGCTTTCATGTATGCAAAATTATTTTGTTTTACATACTTTCATTATTACAATTTGAGACAAATCCAGACTTAATGGTTCTAATGTGCACTATAACCCACTGCCTAACAAACACTGCCATTTTGGACTACTCATTTTACACAGGATTAAAAAGGGTTAAGTACCTTGAAAGTTAAACACACATTTCAATGTCTATGATAGCTGATTTATCACAAACATTTCAGATATTGCAGGTAACACCTACTTGCCATGAAACAGAGACAACAAATGATGTACCTGGAAATTAGTATGGGAAGTAATATGGTCAAATTTAAGAGGGTTTCTATTTAAAACAAACAAAAAAAACAACAAAGCAAACAACAACAATGAAAAAAAATAAGAAAAAACCCCAAAATAATTAAAAAACCCACTCACTACCAAAAAAACCTTCTAACATTTCTACCAGAAGTTCCTCAAGTTTTGTCAATAAACTGGAAGTTTTTTGGGCAGACGAAGAGCAGGGATGCTTAGAGAAGACAAGTGTTTATTCCTGGATGGATATCCTGCATGTGCAACCACCAGCTGTTCTCTAGCACAGCCTGCACTGCCTAGAAGGCCTAAAGGATTCGGTCAGCAGTGACAGCTATGAATTTAGATTTTCAAAGTTATTTTTGTGTACTTCCACTCTTCATGGGAGCAAAGAAACGAACAGAGAACAAAAGAGAAAGGCTGCATATATGTATTTAGGAGAATCCTTCACAGAGATGTCTGTTTTGTAAACGATCTGACAAGTTGCAAATTACATTTCCCATTCAAAAGCTAAACCATTAAATTTCATACTCAGCTCAAAACCAAAGACAAATATAAAAGAATCGGAATCACAGCAGGACTTTGAAAATGACCTTGGAATAAAGCTGGACTGAGCTCTTAAACTGTGCTTACAATATGATATCAAAAATGAAGAAAGATATTGCTACCAAGCAGACACTATATCTAACCAAATTCAGTATCTCCTTAAGAGCTGGACAAGGTATTACCTTCTTTTGTGATCTGCCTGCTATTGAAAAGACAGACTACATGAGATAGCTCAGTTAAAGATAAAAAAAAGCACCAGAAAGTCAGAGATTATATGTATCTTGAAAAGATAGCCAAGGAAATAGTACATATTTATTCAAGAAAAACATAAAAACAAGGGAAATAAGCAATAGAAGACAGCAAGTAAATTAGACTAAACTAGCCCATCATTTCAAGAGTATTTCATTCTAAGTAGAGCATGTCTCCTTTATGTTTACAAATATATCAACTCCCCTGTCTTCACTTGCTTTGCCTGTTTCCCCACCAGTTTTTTGAAAACTGCATTTTGTTGTTGTTCTTATCATAAAAAAGCCCCAAACAATAGAACAATAGAAGTTCAGCAAAATACAAAAGAAATGTTATTGTTCTAGCCATGATTAATGGTCATTAAGAATGAAAGAAATTTAACATAGTGTTGCAGCTTGATAGAAGATTAAATTACTTGCTGATGTCTGAAAAGCATGTTGAGGGTCTAAACAGTGCTCACACTTTAAACATGCTTTTATAGGCACTGTCAGGACAACACATCCATGAGCCTTTTGTATATGCTGCTTGACTTTAAGAGGCTGCCTTGATCTATCTCTTGAGAAAAAAAAATATAAGTTCACAAATAATTAAAGAATAAATTCAAGTAGGCATTTTTATTTATGTTTTTAAGATGTGGCACAGGGAAAAGGAACTAGGGTGCAAGCAGGCCTTCCAATAAATTCCAGAGTGTGCTTTTGCACTTGAGATATGCTAAGGCTATGCATATATAACAAAAATATACATCTCACTAGCTTTTTTCCCCCTTAATTGCTATTTTTTTTTTCTATTTTGGCTTTAAATAAAAATATAGGGAGGTTCTAGAAAATGGAAAGGTAACTCACTGACACAAACTTCCTGGGATAACTAATAGTATCTGCAAAAGCATACCCCCTTCCCTGTGTTCCACTTCTTATTTCTGACAAGAATCAGCAACATTCACTTCTTGATAATTATGAAAGCCTCTAAGCACAGAATTGCTATAGGGATTTATTCTTCTACAATTAATTTGCAGTTTGACATAAAGGTCCAAGCTACAGAGTGACAAGAAGGCAGATGCTACAAGGGATGCAAATCAAGGCAATGGAATTAATGTGGGGGAGGGCAGAGAACAAAAGTGAAATTAACTGAATTTTTTATTAGAGAAACAAAACAAATTATTGAAGTGTAATGCACACTAATTTTACCTGTGAATTAATTGAAGTTTGTTATTTCCTACATATTGTGCATATTGGACAATGTTACTGTGTAGAAGGTTTCAAGAAACAATTCCAACAAATAAAATAACTTTCCACTACTATAATGGAAATGTACATCAAACTTGTTTATTAGGCTAGAAATGCATTTATATCACAAAGTAGTTATCCTGCTGATGACTGCTTTAAAGCTGCACCCAATAGGTCATGAAAGTTTTCTTGATCTCTCTTCTTTAGACATCTTTACTAGCAAGTCTCTCTCAAAGAAACAAGCTAAGCAGAACTGAAGGCTGATTTGCAGCAGGCAGTGTCAAAAGATGCCTGTTATTTTGGCTTGTTTCTATTTTGAATTACATATGAAATAAAATAATTTAAAAGCAGTTAAAGCAAGTAGTTTATTTGATACAAAGGTAAGAAATTTAATTAGGTGTATAAGACTGTACATGTTTTTAAACAATATAAAATACAATAAAAAGATCCTATTTAAAGCTGATGAGCTGGGGACAAGAGACACTGGGACAGAACTTCAACAGGTTCACCTTAAGGTATTTCTATTAAAGTAAGTGAAGTCACGCCAATTTACACGATCCAGATGACCAGCTCACTTAGCAGTTGTAACTGACTTAAATTTAACTGCACTACTTTTGAAAACAATGAATACAATGTGTCAATTTGCAACTGTAAGTAGAATCAATGTAAATCAGATCTAGATATTTTACAATATTCATCAGTATTAAAAAAAACCAACACATTTCAAACAAATTCTCATTTGCGCTAGTTATGAAGCTCTTGGATATTAAGCAGTTCTGATGCTTTGTATTGAATCTTCTTCAGCCTCTTAAGTAATGAAACTTAATATTCATACTACCAAAAGCAAATGAGAAAATCCATAATGCCTTCAAATCATGAATGAGCTTGATTACAAGCATTCATTTAATCTTGTCATCCATGCAATGATATAATAAAGTGAAATTCCTAATAGAGTTCTGTTGAAACACTTGGCTTAGATGACTTGAATACCTTAATATTTGTTCAATCTCTGCAGCACTAACATTTAGTAACGGACAAACAATCATACTGTAATTCCTACATAAAACAGTGGCTAGAAAAAATGTCACATGAGAAGGTGGTAAAAAGAGAGGTGTTGGAAAAATAATTTCTGTGAGAAAAGTATTTTTCTCCCATTTGCTGCAAAAACCAGATATTTTCTGTTTCCAGTCCGTAGTAAGACAAAATATCAGGTTAAACATTGCTTTTGTTTTGCAACTCAGATCTTCCACACCTCTTAGGAGAAAAGGAAGGAAAGGGGATTCTTAACCTTGCCTTTATTAAAGGTTCAAAGAATGCTTCTCCTCTGGTGTGATACAGTAATGAAAAAACAAGCATGTCTCTAATGCATTAAAGACATAGGAAAGTACTGAGTCCTTAAAATGGTTACTCTAGGCCACACCAGGGATACAGTACTCTATCCACAAAAGCTGCCTAGAAAAATCAGGCCAGCTACAGAATTAGATTTTGAGGAATTTCCTGTGATGTCTAACTTATTGCTCTGTCACAGTTTGACTGTAAAAATCAGTAAAAGTGGCTTCATCCTTGCTCAAACCAGGACATGCTCCAAGAAGAAATCTTTCAGTTTATCTAGAAATGTAGTTTCTTGTTCTTCCACCAGAATAATGTTGTTTTATTTATATTACTAAATGAAGGCTTTTGATATAATGACTTTTTCTTCTTTTACAGCCTCTCTTTAGTATTTCTCAATCTCAACTGTTACCATAGCAAACTGTTTGGAAGTACAGC